GGTCTCTCTCCTCACTGGATGGGACAGTTTCCTAGGTGTTGGAAGACCCCTGAAGGAAACAAGGTCACCTGGCACAGGACACGGGGGATCTCCCCACTTTAATTCCATGGAACACTCGAGTTGTGACAATTCCTGCCAGTCTAAACATCAGGTGCTGAGAGGTGGCATCACGACTTTGTCCCAAGTCCCTGAGATGGCAGACCCACCAATGCCAAAGTTTGCTCCCTGAAGCAGGAGCCCTGATGCACATGCCCCTCCACCCCCAACACCACTGTCACACGACGAAGGACGGAGAGAGTCTCCTACCAAATCGGCCACCATCTTCTGCATGTATTTTGTGCATTTTTCCACCTCATTCTTGGGCCCTCTGAGTTGGACAATATCACTTTTTTGTGCTGGGTCTGGAAAGTTGATGATAACCTAGAATAAATCACCAGGAGACCAAGTCTGATCATTGGTGAGGACTCCAAAACTAAATATGCCCAAGGGCCAGCCAAACCAATCCTGGAGGGTCAGCAAAATAAGGCCACCGGGAAACTACCTCTGGGAATTTGTCCCGAATTTCACGGATGCGTTCACCCTTCTGCCCGATGATCGTGCGATGAAACCTCTGCTCGACGATTAGGTCCTTGGTTCGCTCATTTTCCTGAAGACACATCCAAACGGGTGACGTCACTTACCGCGAGCAGGGAACCACCGCCCCACAGCACGAGGTGCCTGGGAGTCCATGACCCCAGAAGGCGAGCAGGTGGTGAGCCAGGAGCACTGGCCAGTACACAGTGCCCACTGGATTCCTGTCCGGCCCACCCGCTGCCCCCCAGCTGCCCTGGGGGTATGGTGCTCTCCTGGACACAGTGCCAAGGGAGAACCAAAATGCAGACAGAGCCCTCCAACCAAAAGCACTACTGCAGCAGCCAAATTACCAGAGCCCCTCACTCAGTGCTGTGACCTTACAGGAACCAGGGACCTTGGCCTGGTGCTCTGCACAGCAGGGAGTGACCCCTCACCACCAGGAAGCAGGGACTGCCCAGTGTGATAAGGCAGTGCTCAGCATGGAGCACTGACCCATGTGGTCCTCACCTCCTCCAGAGGGCCCGTCAGGAGGTACAAGAGCAGGCGCAGAAAGCACGGAGGGGACTGCCTATCTATCCTATCAGGGAGGTTCTGGAGCAGATGAGCATCAGAGTGACAGAAATGAGGGCTCAGCACTCCAGTAACAAGATTCCAGAGCAAGGGGCTGTGGATGCTCAGGATGGAGCTGGTTGGCGCAGGAGAGAAGCCAGGACATGCCCAGGCTGAGGAGTGAGCTCGGGAACAGCCTAGCGCGGTGGGAGGCCATGCCATGCCCTGTATTACCGCCAAGGACACAAAGTCACTGCTGTAAAGCTGGCCTCCACTGTGGGACCCCTGGCACAGTACCATAAGACATAACAAGAATACCCAGGTGAAGGCAGCTGCCCGGGGGCATATCCTGCCCTGACGAAGCAGAAGTCCTACATCCCTGGGCTTTCCTGACAATCTGCACATGTTCATGCTGACCTCTGAGCAATCCTGCAGCACTGGACTCATTTGGAGTCATGTGCAGCCCAGGTTGAGACTCACTGCTGTGAGGTTATGCGCATTTGACTCAGGTGGGTGCTGGCAGCAGGCCAAGACAGCACAGTCCTTTAGTCTGGAAATAGGGAGCAAGGCCCACTGTGCCCGCCCCCTTCCCATGTGCAGATAACCTCACACCAATGGTTCAACCTTGGACACACACCAGTCACCTGGGTGCCTTAAAGAATCCAGAAAAGTCCCTCAGTCCCTGGAGTTGGCACTGAGATGTCATGGAAGCCAAGGTCTGGCCAGGCCAAATTCCCCACTGCAGACATTCAGAGCCCCCTCGCATAGCAGAAGCCCAACAAGAAGGACATGTGGGGACTCCCTTCTTCGGACAGCACCTGCCAACACTGCTGCTCTGCCAAGGTGCCTTCCCCCAGGACCCCTCCCAGGGCTCACCATACGGGAGGCGAGCTCCAGCAGCTCCCGCTTGGCCTGCTGCACGCCCTGCGGGTCCCCCTCAATGCGGATCAGGTTGCTCTTCTCACTGTCGGGAGGGATGCGCACAGACACCTTGTACTGGTCTTTGATTCTGTTGACTTAAGGACAAAAGGAAACATTTTGGACTCAGACTCTACTACGGGCCACTGATGATGAACAACCTAACCAGCAGCCCACAGCAGGAAGGACAGCGCTAGGGCTGACGGGGACAATCCCCGGGTGCCCTCCCCACGGCCCTGTGGGCAGCTCAGGACAGTGGCCCGCTGACACTATTCACCTCGAGGCCAAGTAGCCAGGCGAGGACACCCACCCAGACACCGTGGCTCCCCCGCCACCCTCCTGCCCGTGCCCCTCACTGTTGGCTCCGCTTTTCCCGATGAGATGTCGGTGGAACTTGTGGTCGACACTGATCTCCACGTAGTCCATGCGGTGACTCTGCAGAGACACAGGGTGCGTCCATGAGACGAGAGGCTGGGCATCCAGAACCATAGGCGAGCTGGCAGCTGCTGCCTTTTTTGACCACTCGGCCGTCGGGATTGTCACAAGCCCGTCCCTCCGGCCCCGTGAAAGACCCGTCTTCAAAATAAGGTCCTCTCCAGGCCTCAGAAACACTGCTCACCTGCTGGGCTACCCCTTCAGCTCTGTGCCCACCCACGTGAGACCCGACGGCCTCGAGACATGACGATGGCCCTGTCCTCAGTTCACCAGCACCTGAACCGTCACAGGGCCTCACCAAGTCTTTCACCATGGCCTCGATCTGCTCCTGAGCCAAATTCACATCCTCCGTGGGGCCTTCCAGGGTGATCTTGTCCTCGCCTTCTGTGAACTCGATGTGAACCTACACACCAAAACAAGGGACAGTGAACACGGGGTGGCACCATGGCAGCGACCGATTCCGAAATGCTTCACGAGGGTGCACGTCCACCACCACCACGAAAAGCTGCAAAGGGGTCTGAGAGACAACCATTATTTTGGTACTAAATGTAGTCTAATCACCTTTCCTTTATCAACAGCAAGAACCTTGAAGTCCTTCCCACTGTGCTTGCCACCAGAATCCCCTCCTTCAAGCACATCACACCTCAGCATGCCTCCTGTACTGCTCACTGTACAGCGCCTACTCCCGCCTGGCCACATGGAGGAAGAGACAGCTAACCCGGACAGGATTTTAACCCAAGTAGAGCCGCCCAGCGGTGGTCCCCAGGCAAGGCCACTGCACTCCTGTTCCTAACACAGCAGGTAAGGAGGTGACTTTGCAGGAGCCTGGCCCACGAAGCCATCACATTGGCGTGAACCAGTTCTTTGATCTACAAGTAAAGTAGCTGCAGGGCAAATGGGAAACAACACCCACACAGGAGTCCGACACGGGGTGTGGCCTCTGCTGTCTCCATCTGTTCAAGTTCCCGGGGACAACTAAGGCCTCCAGGACACAGGTGCGGAAGACAAAGCCAGGGGCTCCACAGTTGACACAGTTTGTAGAGAAATTTTGCTCTTCAGAATTTACAGACGTTAACAATTAGGACGTTGTTATGCCATAGTAACTAAGAGAGGTGTTCCTGCTCTTTTTCTCTTTGAAATATGTTTTTATTGATTTCAGAGAGAGAAAGGGAGAAGGAGAGAGAGAGAAACATCAATGATGAGAATCATTGATCGGCTGCCTCCTGCACGCCCCCTACTGGGGACTGAGCCCACAACCTGGGCACGTGCCCTGACCAGGAATCCAACTCTAACCTCCTGGATCCTAGGTCAAAACTCAAGCATTGAGCCACACATCAGCTGGGCTGAGGTGTTTCTTAAGATATTCATCAAACCTAACACACACATTCTCTCTGGTTAAAAAGACCAAAAGAATGGCAGAGACATTTAAAAAAAACTTATTCTAATGTTTAAAAATCATGGCATAGTCTTCAAAGGCACCCACAGAATCAACAATAACACCAACATGAAGGTCAGCAGCGGACGACAGAACACAAGGCCAACCCAGTGTAGCAAGGCCACATGTTCACTCACCTTTGGCATCTGCTGAGTGATCTTGGCCAGGTTCTGCCCCTTCTTGCCAATGATGAATCGGTGAAGCCAGGAAGGAGCAGAGACAGAGGAGACTGTAAAGCTATTGGCCTAGAACAAGCAAACCAACCAGTTGGTCAGCAGTGTCCAGGCTGTGTGAGCACCAGGTCGCTCAGTGGGGCTCAGGGCCAGCGAGCGCCCCAACCCAACACGGCCCTGTCCCTGGATCCACCTGGGAGGCAGTTACCTTGGCATAGACTTCAGTCAGCGCCTGCCCTAGCTTTTCAGGCTCCCCTCGAAGTATCACAGTCTCGGAGATGCTGTCGGAGGGTGGGATCTCCACAGAAACTCCAGTTCTTTCTAGAATCTCCTGCAAGGAATTGCCCTTGGGCCCGATGACATACTTGTGCTGAGATTTCTTCACCTCCACCGCGATGGTTGTGGTCTTCTTTTTCTATGTAAGAGTACCAACAAGATGTC